CTCTCTAAATCCTTATGGTTTCTTGGCTGTTGTTTGGCAACTCGTAGTTTCAGCTCCCTCTACAGATTTTCTATAGGACTGAGGTCTGGAGACTGGCTAGGCCACTCCTTGACCTTAATGTGCTTCTTCTTGAGCCACTCCTTTGTTGCCTTGTCGGTAAGTTTTGGATCATTGTCATGCTGGAAGACCCATCCATGACCCATCTTCAGTGTTCTGGCTGAGGGAAGGAAGTTCTCGTCCAAGATTTTACAGTACATGGCCCCGTCCATTTGCCCCTCAATGGGGTGAAGTCAACCTGTACCCTTAGCAGAAAAACAGCGCTTCTTCTTGAGCCACTCCTTTGTTGCCTTGGCGGTATGTTTTGGGTCATTGTCATGCTGGAAGACCCATCCATGACCCATCTTCTGTGTTCTGGCTGAGGGAAGGAGGTTCTCGTCCAAGATTTTACAGTACATGGCCCCGTCCATTTGCCCCTCAATGGGGTGAAGTCAACCTGTACCCTTAGCAGAAAAACAGCCCCAAAGCATAATGGTTCCACCTCCGTGCTTACTGTAGGGATGGTGTTCTTGGGGTCATAGTCAGCATTTATCTCCCTCCAAACACGGCAAGTCAAGTTAATGCCAAAGAGCTCAATTTTGGTCTCATCTGACCACAGCACTTTCTCCCAAGCCTTCTCTGAATCATTTAGATGTTCATTGGCAAACTTTATACAGGCCTGTACATGTGCCTTCTTGAGCAGGGGGACCTTGCAGGTGCTGCAGGATTTCAGTCCATTGCGGCGTACTGTTACCAATGGTTTGTTTGGTGACTGTGGTCCCAACTGCCTTAAAGGGGTCATATGATGCTGCTAAAAAGAACATTATTTGGTGTAATGAAATGTGTTTATGCGGTTTAAGGTTAAAAAAACACATTATTTTCCATATACTGTACATTATTATTTCTCCTCTATGCCCCGCCTTTCTGAAACGCGTCAATTTTTACAAAGCTCATCAGTCTGAAAAGCGAGGTGTGCTCTGGTTGGCTAGCTATCGAGAGCGTTGTGATTGGCCGAATACCTCAAGCGTGTGACGGAAATGTTACGCCCCTTACCATATTGTGATGCCCTGTCCGGCCGGAGCGACAAGACATAAACATTAAAACCCATTATAAACGAGGCATTTGTTGCATCCAGTGGAGACATAATTACGGATTATAATGACCTATACTGTCTTTTTACGCGTTGCATTAAAAACGTACTTACAGTCTGTGAGTCAGAACAGCCGGCATTGTAGTCTACTCTGCCAGGATCAGGAAACAGTCCTCCATAAAATTCACTGGACACATCTGAATATTTGGGTTAAACTGTTCTGGAACAGTGTTGTAAATACAACTTAACCACTGATTTCTAGTCATGTCCTATTTTGGAAGGCCAAACAAGGTAGTTTCGCTTTCACAACTAAACAGCGTCACACACCGCGGCCTTAAGTGAGCGATGACGTAGCGGATATCGTCCTCTTTTGGAAGGCCAAACAAAGTAGTTTCGCTTTCACAAGGATACACAACAACAATACTACAGCGAGAATAAAAGTTACGCTTTCTTTCTTTGCGTGAACATTTGGGCGGCGTTATGCAAATCTTCCCACATCGTGACGTAAACATGTGGGGGCGTGTTAGAACGAGCTGTTTTAGGTAGGCGTGGTTGACTCTTAACTTTTATAAAGAATATCTCTTTGGATTTGAGACTTTAGTCTTTGCAACTTTACAGATCTTCTTCATGCACCAAGAGCTTGTAACACTCCAAAGAGAAAGGAAAAATTTAAATTGCATCATATGTACCTTTTAAGATCATTATCAAGCTCCTCCCGTGTAGTTCAGGGCTGATCCCTGAACTACATTTTTGTATTTGTATTTGTACATCTTTCTTATTTTGTATTCTTGTTTTGTACTTCTTCCATTTCCGAATTATCGTACCAACAGTTGTTTCCTTCTCACCAAGCTTCTTGCTGATGGTCTTGTAGCCCATTCCAGCCTTGTGCAGATCTACAATCTTGTCTCTGATCGTTGGTCTTGCCCATGGTGGTGGGAGAGGTTGGAATGGAAGATACAGATTGTGTGGACGGGTGTCTTATATACCTAACAAGCTGACATTAGGAGTAACTTCTTAAAGTTACAGGACTAATCTGTGTTCCACATGGGCACATAACCAATCTGTGGGAGCCAGAATTCTTGCTGGTTGGTAGGGGATCAAATACTTATTTCACTCACTGAAATGCAAATACGTTTCTAACCTTTATATCATGTGTTTTTTCTGGATTTTTGGTTGATATTCTATCTCTATCCGTTAAAATAAACCTACCATAAAAATGACAGACCCTTCATTTCTTTATAAGTGGGCAAACTAAATCAAATAAATATTTCCCCCACTGTACCTAATTAGGGCTGGGCAAAAAATAAGATTTTTAGATTAATCGTTTTTTTTTTAATGACGTCGATTCGATATCGATTCTCAATCGATCTTTTCCGGGATTTATTTCAGCACACATTTAAAACAAGATCTGATTAACGTCAATCTTATCATTAGTCTTCTCCACTAGATGTCACCCTTATTTACCTTGCGCGATGTTTCAACAGAAATCCTGTCATTCATTCAGCGCTTATCATGACCATACGCGTGATTCGCAATGCTCAGGTGAAATGCTATAGTAATACTATAAATCTGCGGAATAATTTGATATCACGCATAGGCGCCATGATTTCCACAATGAATGAATGGCGGATGGCGCGGCGCACTGTTTTGTTTTCAGATACTAAAGCGCGGATGAAGCTTGCGGTGTTTTCAGCTTCTTCTGCCGTCTCACTATATGATGATATGAACACGAATGTCATCTCCAGCTGCTCTGAGTCACTTCATTAGCATTTTACCGTTTCATTTGAGAAAACTACCTTCATATCACAAACACAGCAGCTGCAAGTTCTTCACGGCAACCCGTCAAAATAAAAGTTTAGTTTAACGTTAAGAAACTGTCAGAATATATTACTATTTAGCAGTCTTAAGAATCAATGCTATTACTGCAAATAAATCTTTATTTTTAAATGAATAATCACATCTGTTTTCTTTTTAATTTTAACAGTAAACCTCTGTTGTGCAGCACTTTGTTTGCCAAAAAATAAAAGGGTTTAATTTTCATTTGATTAAGATTAATTAAATTAATGATTTATGCCTTCATCTGATTACCAGAAAAATTAAGAACATTTTATAGGGCCCTATTATTGTTTAAAAAAGGACCCATACAAAAAAAAGCATAGGTTTAAAATGCAGGCATGTGGTTCTTAATTTCTTTTTATTAATTCACCATTTGTAAACTGATGTTTACTGTTCATTTTTTAGAAATATCAATAGCATTTGTATTAAAACTATAGTCACTGAATGTAATCAAAAAATTTGAGAATCGAATCGAGAGCTTGCGAATCGAAATCGAATCGAACCGGGACATCTGAATCGATACCCAGCCCTATACCTAATAGAGAAGTCACTTGATGTTGCCAAGTGTAAACTTGCTGTGTCCTGAATGACTGATGATCACATGTTGATGCCAAGTGTAAAAACAGCCAAAAAGATAGATATATTTTATGAATAAATGTAAAAAATAAATATAATGCTGAATAAAATGCTGAAATGAAGCAGAATTCAGAGCATCCTCCTACGAATTGAACATGAGCTGCAATTGAATGTCACTACCAATGTAATTTTCTTTCTTTCTTTCTTTTTATCGCTTGAATTGTGAGCACAGAGTCACATGGACAACACCCCAGTCGCATCGTCAAGTTTCTACTGATTCTCAGATTTTAATTGATCATTTTATTAAATTAATTAATTTATTTGATACATTCTTGAATACAGTGCAATGTTTCCCAAGCACTCCAATATATGACTCTTTACCACTCTGCATCCAGTATATGATCCATTACAGACTGCAGTCACGGCAGTTTTCTTTTTGCTTCTTTTCTTTCTTTCTTTTTAAAAAAAATAAATATGCATGTTTTTATTGTAAAAATTGCCAAATTCCCCAATTTCCTCATAGAAATGAATGGCAATGCTTTGTTTTCCACCAGTAGTGGGCGTGGCATACTTTCTGACTACATCAATAAACACCACCCTCCAGATTGATTGACAGCTGACTGTGTTAGGCATTGGAAATGCAAGTGCAAAAGCACTTGCGATTCCATTTGAATTTTGTGAGGGTTGGAGCAGGACGTGGAGAATGTGAAATAGCAATTGTGTTATTTTCTATTGCTATTCCAAAATGACAGAATCTTAACTAGTAAGACATTGGAAATGCAATAGCAAATGGACTTTGCTTTCCATTTAAAATTTGGCAGACATGTTACATACACAGGAAAGAAAATGGAAACACATATGCGTCAACAAATTAAAAAAGCAATTGCAAATACAATTTGCAATTCCTTTTGAATATTGTCTGGAATATCATTCCATATTTGGATATATGGACAGCTCAAGGTTAAACCAGTATAGCAGTTACCCCTAGAGCAAAGTTAACCTGGTTTTAAAAGTGAGGCCCAATCATGAAAATGTCATTATGAGGACATGTGAATTTGGTTGAATATAAAAAAAGTTAGTCAGTCCACTTTTAGTACAAGATTGCTGGTCTCAGTGTGTTCAAATGGGGACACCCTCAGTTTTAAACCTCTTTTTAACCCTCCAGGCTACACAAATTACCCATATATTCTCAGAAAAGCAGGTCCCAAGAGCCATATTTACTTCAAGTGAAAGAGTCTGCTGCTGTTTTATCAGCTTGCCACTAGATAGCACTCTAGAGTTTTGTTATTGTCTTAAGTGACTTGTTGTACACAAGTTAAATGGTTATTGTTCTGTTTTCGTTACGATAAACGTTCCAGCTTTTTGTTTGTTTACTGCTCAGTGAGTTGTGTGAACTTGAGCTATGATCTAGTCAGAGCAGTACAACAGATCAGTACATTCAAAAGCATGCTGCCTTCCTTACCATCAAAGTCCACCTTCCCATCTCCGTTGAGATCAATGTCTGTCAGAATTTCTTCCAGTTCTCCCTTCTTCAGTTTCTCCCCAAGCAGCGTCTTTGTGGACTCCTTCAGCTCCTCAAAGGTGATCCGTCCATCACCGTCACAGTCAAACTAAGAGAGGCACAGAGGAATGCAGAGTTTTACGAAGAGCTAATAATATTTATGGGTTGGAAAAAGATGCAATGTAATGACGTTTTGTTGTTTCTGGGGTCTTGTTCTCTATTTAATGTACATTTTAAAGTGAGCTCCGTTTGAAGGGAACTTTAGAGAGCATACTCACCTGTTTGAAAGCGCAGTGCAGCTCCCTTAGACCCACCATATGAGCGGTTTCAGCCAGCATCCTGGGCCCCATTAATTCACAGAAATCATCAAAGTCCACATGACCTCCCCCTATAAACACAAACACACCAACAATTATCTTTACTTTTAAACTGACATACACTACCGTTCCAAAGTTTGGGATTGGTTAGATTTTTTTTATGGTTGTCTGTTATGTTCATCAAAGCTGCATTTATTTGATTAAAAATACAGTAAAAACAGTAATATTTTTACTTTAATAGATTTTAAGTAGCCAATACTCCAGTGTTCAGTGTCACATGATCCTTCAGAAATCATTCTAATATGCTGATTTGTTGTGCTGTTTAATATTTGTGTGGAAACTGCTAGTTTTTTCAGGATTATTTGATGAATAGAAAGTTCTAAAGAACAGCATTTATTTGAAATTGAAATCTTTTGTAACAATTTAAATGTCTTTACTGTCACTCTTTATCAGTTTAATGCATCCTTGCTGAATAAAAGTATTAAAACTTTTAAAAAGATCTTACTGACCTCACACCTTTAAACTGTAGTGTAGGTCAAAAGGTTAGAGTATAAATAGAAACACACACACGCACACACATACATACATTTCATTTTTATCTGCTGAATGATCTCAATCAGTTCCATCTCTGTTGGCATGTATCCCATGGTTCTCATGCAGTCTGCGACATCTTTGTAGTGCAAATACCCATCCTGGTCATAGTCAAACTCTTTAAATGCTACATGCAGCTCTGAAAGGAAAAGAAATGTAATCACATTTAACCACACTGCCAACTTTTCTTCAATTTGCAGTATACCGTATTTGGCTTAGGTGTTATGAATGGACAATGATGTGTGTGTGTGTTTAAAATGTATTTAAAATTTTTATTTTTTTTATTGTGTTCTGTTTTTAATTATAATGTGCTACTCCTGTTTAATTTACATGTTTATTTTAATGTTAATGAAATTACAAAATCACACAGATCATGGTTTTAAACTTACATTAGGACATTTACATTATGCCACATACTGTACCAGTTATATAATCTATAGGACTGTGCAGCTTAAGCGGGTATAGGACCATCAGCACAAGCTGACTCACTGCTCTGGTATTATTAATGCTGCTTACGTCTTCATCCGCTGTATGCCATTCACCATTCATGACAATACCAATCCATTTTTAATCAAATTTATTTGTGTCAGATGTTATTGAATTTTGTCAGTTATTTATCTTATGCTGAATGTGTTGTAGCAATTGTATTGTGTCTGTCTAGGCGCTGTGCACTGTCGGATATTAAATATGCATGTTCTGTACATACCATCTAGTTCCTCTGGCAGTAAATCTCTGTCCTGGTAAAAGTAAATGGGAGAGAGAGAGTCAGAGAGAGGTAGAAGGACAGAGAGATGAGAGAGCAAAATGACAATGAGGGGAAAAAATCGTGACAAAAAGCAGCTAAATATGGAAATTATTACAGCATGAGAGCTGAACGTCCTTAGAGACATCACCCATTTTTAATCACTAATAACTGAGGTTTATGTTAGCATGCTTATCAATGCTGCTCAGTGGCACAATGACGCATAGAGTGGGGTGGGGGGGTTGTATAATTGGATTACACCATAACATGCCCTACCATGCCTCATGTCAACGCTGATACAAACAATGAACCTGGGAGATTCAGGGAAAAAATTTACTCGTTTTGCAAACATAAAATGTGTATATGGTTAAGGGGCAATGTGTATTAAAGGAAAAAGAGAGAGAACGTTTAGCAAAGAAACGGTTTAAAAACGATGTTATTATTGCTGTATTTCGTAAATATATCCTCAAATACAGTTTTATTTAGATTCATGAACATGTGCATGCTTTAATATATTAAAATCATACAAATACACATGCATATACGTGATACAAATGAAGTTGACTTGAAAATGTTTGATTAATTACAAACAAACACATAGTATGTATCTGCTAGCACTTTCAGAAATAGATGCATATGCACTCGAGCATAAACATGCACATTTATAAATTTTTTTAAATGGCATGTGATTATTATTAAACTGTTCATTCTGTTTTTTTACAGTTTTTTTTGCATGTAACTTTTTTTTTTTTAAAGCAATCTTGGCCTGTAGCTTCACGGTATTGTCTAACGGATTTCACATAGTAGTCTTTGACATTAAAATAATTTATTGAAAAAAACATTTGAGCCAATAGCTTCATGAAATGAAATTTCAAGCAGGTTTTCTGAATGCTCTCCTGTCTTACAAATCCAATGTTTTTGTTCTCGTAGGGAAAAAAAGCATATGTCCAAATTAACCTAGCATGAAAGGTAGCTATACTGTAGTTTAAATAAATCTGTCTGGTTAACCTCTTAAAATTGTGATTTTTTTGGACTGTCCTACATGTTGCTTGGACCTCCCGCAGTCTTGGCCCTCTTAACTGTATTGAAATTGTATTTAATATTTGTTAAATACAATTTAATATTTATCAGTTTAGTATTTAAAATGTGTTATTTTATTATCTTTTCTGTCTTCCATATAGGACATTAAACATATAGTCCTACCCCTAACACATGATATTGGTTGAGCCAGTGTTTCTGTGTCAGATTGGTCTGGATTTTTAATCAAATCATCTTAATTTTTTTTATTTCACCTGCACCATAAATACTTTAAATTGCTTACTTTCTACATATGAAGTATTTTAGCATCAAAACAAATGACACTTATCAACTTTAATTTCACCTAACGACATTGTTCCTGCACTTAGCCAACTAGATAACTTCGTAACTGCAATGTTAATCCAATGTGGGCATTGCTGTCCTTCAAATATTTCATTCACTGCATTCATTGGACTTTTGACCTCCAAATTCCCCAAAACACATATGTATTATTAAAAATAATGCATTACTCATAGACTTCTCTGGCAGAGGTAGCGGTTTTGCAACTTGAGTTGCTTCAGGCTATTTACCCTTAGATATATGCTAATAGGGTCCCTTGTCTATCTGTTTTTATTTCATTCATCCCTCTAGTTCTGTCGAGCAGAAGCAGTGGAGCTTTAGGCTGTGCATACATTGGTATATTCTCCATTTTGTGTCGGAGCACCTTTGTCTTTGTTTGTCTCTTAGACTCTATCCATTATCTCTCTCTTACTATTCTACAGCGTCTCCATCTTATGGCTTTCACTTGCTCGCTGGCTCTCTCTGATCTCCAGACGTACTCTTGAAAATATAATCAAGAGCCTCTGAGTTGAAATGACTATGATTCAGTAACGTGACATTCATAGCGTCGGTTTTAAAAGCAAAAGCAAGATGCTAGCTTAGGTCTGAGCTTCAGTGTACCAAAATAATTTTTTGACTTGGCACTTGTTACTGACCTGATTGAGAAGGAAGGTAGTGTGTTGACAGGCGGCAATATTTTCTCAATGCAAAATAAGTTAAACAAACAGGCTAACTTTAGGCACCTATAAATGGGTCATCTGTCTAAAAACATCTCAAAGTAGACTAAGCTAGTTTGCTGGTTTTAGTTGATCTCGCTGACTGGTTTTAGAGTGATTTTGGGCACTTTTCAGCTTGGTCAGTCTGACTGGTCACCCCACTAAACCAGCTGTACACCTGCTTGGCTTAGATAGGAGACTATCTTAAGCCAGCTAAGACCTGCTTGTGGTTTTTTTATTTATGTATTTATTTATTTATTTTTCAGTAATGTGGTGATACTGTGGTCCAGTAATGTATCAGATTGTAAATACAATAATGCAGAATCAGTCTTGTTATTGGAAACTACAACTATGAAAAATAGTTTTCGACGATTGAAATAAAATAAAATACTAGATGTGATATTTTAATATATTATAATGTCATATAAAATATGATATTATAAATATTATATGAAAATCTTAAACAAACGAAAATTAGAGATGTTGCCTTGGCAAGAATTGAAGTAAATGTTTTTAAAATTACTAAAATTAAAAGTAAAAAACAAACAAAAAAAGAAGCTAAATAGAAACACAAAAAAATAATAAAGTAATAAAAATGCAAAAAGTTTAAGAAAATTACTTAAACTTAAAAATGAAAATATTCTTTTAAAAAATCACATTTATAATAAAAAAATACCGTAATATTACATGTAAGGGTGATTGCCATAATTTAAATGTTGCTCCAAGGTACACTGAAAAATAGCATGTTATTACTATGGTGCCTTTTGTATTAGTTTTATTAGTTATAACCTCTTCAAAAGTATTGTAGTAATTTACATGTAGATCATTAATAAAAAACAGCAAGAATACATCTAGAGATCTACTCTAGTTCACCTGTCCAAAGAGAGCGTTGAGGTACTGTGTATATGCTGCAGCGATAGCTGAGTTCTGGCTGAAAGATCTACTGCCACGGCATTCTTGGCTGCCAGATGAGCCCCTGTGACCTGAGTTTTTCGAGTCTTTTGAGGAGCTACGAAGAGCAGAGCGTGGAGGATGAGCATCTGATGTGGATGCTGGAGGACCAGAGGAGCTGTTAAAGGGAAAGAAGAGCGGAAGTGACCACACCGCACTTCATCTCAATCGATGCAAGTATTGATTTAGAGCCATCCATACCTTTCTTTTGAAGAAGTTTTACTTCTCTGAGACATGCTAGTAGATAATAAGGAGAAAGGGAAGATTTTAGATGTTCAGAGAAGTTTACTCATGTTATTCTTTCTCATTTCATATGCCAGTTCGTCCACATTGACATTGTAGTTACATAATTTTTCATGAAACATTCATGCAACCATGCCCAGCCCATTGAAGTTCACATATAAAACATAACGGCAGTTTTCTGGCCAAGTTACTGCAACCTGTTTTACCCTAGATTTTAGTGGTTGGGCAGAGGCCTCATTCCAAAGAAGAAAATGGCCACTGGCATTATAATAGTCAGAAAGGTCATAGACTGGAATTACAATGACCACTTCAAATGGCAACAGTTTGATGCCATTGTTTTCCCATTGTAGAAAGGTTTCTGTTTGAAAAGAAGCCCACACGGCATAATCAAACGCACATTAGCGGCAGATCCAAGAGGACGGACCGTTCCTCCGAGCACTGAATTAGATTACAATGGAGGTCGACAGGTGCACAGACAGCCTATAAATTACAATCAACAGTTTAATATGCCCAAGCAAACAGTGAACCTCTGTCTGTCATCTGCCCATCAAACAAGTCATTAGAACCGAAATTGTCAATGGCTCCTCACAAGCAACACGCATTAATTCAAAATGAGTGAATCATTCACACGAAAACATTTATTTCTTAATGTCTTGGCAATTTGATTCTGTATAAATCTGTTGTGCTCCATTCATTGGTTTGGGAATTAAAAAAAAAAATACTCGAATAGAGAAGAAAATACCAAAATGTCTTTATAGTTTCTCTTAGACTTCAACAATATTGAATGAATAGCAAAGTGCGACTTTTTCCAGAAGTAAAAAAAAAAATAAAATAAAATAAAATTCTCCATAGGGGAATTGAACTTAAAAAGATAACTTGTAAATCTTTAAACAATTTAAAGAACTATAAAGTTGGTATGTGCCTTTGTTGGAGCTATCATCCTGCATTTTTTCAATTTAGATTTAAAAAAAAAAATCTTGTTCAACAATGGATTTACTAATGAAAAACTACATTACCCAGTATTCTGCAAAGAAATCTCCACCAATTAAAGAATAATCAAAGCTCTTAAATTCTCACCTATTCCCATGAAGCACTGCGAATGACAAGTCAGTCTTCTTACGCTGTCAAACTACTTAAAAAATTGCTTTTATGCATATTTGTGTTAATGTATATATTTCAATAAATGTCAAGATATGTTGTTTCTATGCATAATCAACATTTTTAAATATATAGATTTTTATATTAATTTTTAAAATAAATATATACATTTTTAAATGTATATATTAATATATACTTTTTTATTTTATTTTTATTTTTAATTCAATTTCCATTCGCAATGCTTAATGGGATTGTAGTTCTTTCCTTTCTTTAATCTTCAATTTTTTTATTTTTTTTTCAAATGCCTTTTTGCTTTAAATTAAAGTTTGTAATGTTGTGTAATGTGTTAGCTGGTGGGTGTGGTTCATAGCTTTAATAAAGACATGTAAAGGAAACTGGCACTATTTTGATGTTTCCCCTGTATTATTCCATGGACTCCATGGCTCTTCAAGTATGTATCGTTGCAAATGTAATGAAAATTATCTCTGCGAACTTCATTATTAATATTAGCGAAACAATTGCATTGTTCGTCTTGTTGATACAGCAATTGGTTTGTACAACATGGACTTTTTTCTTAGGAGAAGCTTAAAATTAATATAGGCTAAAGATAAAATATACAATAATTTAATTGAAATTAAATCATTATCTCATGTCCACATAATTATTTATTTGCTTGAATTGAAAAGGGTGGCTTTGATAAATCAGTATGTTGACTCAAATTAAATCTGAAGAAAATGTTAAATAAATGCTTGCTTCAGAAAATTTCTAATTACGTTTGAGTCTTCATGGCACATAGTCACAGCAAACTGATTATTCATATTTCAAATGAGATGAAACGTACTAAAAGACAGTACGTGGGCTCCGTCTGCTCTGGGTAATTTGGTGAATTTATTTCAGCGCACTAGTGACTCTCACCGAGAAGAAAAACCTGCCTCACTAATCTACAAGAGTTATTAAACTAAGTGACCAATTGCTGTCAATCTGCACGTTGACACAAGCAATTTCAGCTCCTAGTTCCTCTAATTGGAATAATTTAACAGGAGTGTTGGGATAATTATGGAACAAACTAATAGAATCGTCAGAGAGCCAAAGCTGTGCTGGGGCAAAGAAGACAAGACTGCTCCCTTTCCCCCCTAATTATGATAAGATACCGAACCTTTTTTATGTGAATTGTGAGACACAGAAATTAATTACTTCTAAAATTACATACTGTATGAGATGATTGGTTTGCTGGAATGCTGAAAACGGTGACATTCCTCCACCTAGGTTTCTTTTATTTCTTTCTTTCTTTAATTTTTTTGCTGAGCTCATGAAGTAAAAAAAATTTCATGGCAGCCACCTTTCAGGGCTGGCCTTCCAAAAATGACTGCATCTAACAGATGCAGATTAGATCGAACATTGACCTGCTTCAGAGATAGAAATCTTTTGCACCCTGAAAGACTCAATCACATTGAGATATCTGTCCTGCCAAGGGCATCAGATACAGGCTTTCAAATGGCTTTGTCTTACTGCTTGACAGCTGAATAGAAGTGTTGCTGGTGTTAGAACTTTGATAAAATTGTAACTTTTTTCAATGTCAAAAATCTAATTGAATTCAGTTATTTGTATGGCACTTTTCACAGTATATATTGTTACTAAGCAGCCAGTTGCAAGGAAAACACCCTAATACATTAAAACCAATAGGGAGAAACTCAGCTGTGGAAGTCTTATCTATCCGTTTCATGGTGACTTATTGTTTTATTTTTTTACTCTAGGGTGGAAACATGCTTCCATAGATATGACAGAAGTTGAAACATATATGTTGCGTAACTGAGGTTATTTGTAAGGAGAGCTAGGTTTTGTTTACATTATGGGGACCAAAATGTCCCACAAGGATAGTTAAACCTTAAGGAAATGGCTTAATAAACATATTAATGTCATCATGTATATGTAAAAATGCAAAAAGTGTGGTTCAGATTAAGGTTTAAGAAGAAAAAAAAAAGCATGCAGTACTGGGACCGTATTATGGCCCCTCAGTTGAAATCGCATTCCCGGGGGAACAGTATTTCAGCTGGGCCCCCCGTGCGTTAATCAGTACCGTTCAAAAGTTTGGGGTCTTCAATAAGAAGTCTCTAATGCTCACCAAGTATCAGTATGGTTAAAACTATAGGGGTTAGTTGTCACACAGTGCTATGTCTCAGTAACTATACATTTTTATGTCAAAAGTCAGAGGTCATAAATTAGTTTTCTTTAGCTAGTACTAGTATTATTTTTATATTAATTTTATTATTATAGTATTCATATTTTTTTATTTTCAGTTTATTTTATTTTTAGTTTAAGTTTGTCATTTTTATGTGCTTTTGTCATTTTTGTTAAAATATTTCTGTTTAGATTTCATTTATTTTATTTCAGTTTTACCTTTAGTAATTTTAGTACTTCAGCTTTTTTTTATTTCAGCTATTTGCCATGGTGACATTTCTAATTTATTTTTCATCTAATATTTATGTCTTATTATATTTCTGCTTTACTTCAATTCATGAAAACTAATTTTAATAGTTTTACTTAACAATAACAACAGTGTTTTTCAAACTGTCTCTTGTTTTTTTATTATTTTTAGTAAGGTTATTATAATGTTCTATCTGTTATTCACATATGCTTATTCTGTGACAGCTTATTTACATTATGTGATGTTTTTGAAGTTGTGTATTTAGGGACTTTTTATTTAAAAAAAAAAAAAAAAGCTTCTATCTACAAAGTATATGGAATGCAAAAACTTTGAAGCTCAATATCTCAAAACCACTCAGAATGCAGATAAAACCTTGTAATTCCAAAGTGGCGACCTGTCTAAATGTTAGGTTGGGACAAGTTGTCACAAATTACAATTTCATACAATTTGTACAAAGATATGAAAATATTGTTTTGGTCAACATTACCTTATACATTTTTGTTGTTTTCTGAATTTGTTTTTCATAATTGTTTTACTGTTTAGAAGCCTATAATGGACTGGTTCCATTTGTGAAAGTTTACCGCATATAGTGTGACAACATTGCCAGCTATTGGGGCACGTCGTCACAAAAGATCAATGGTGTTAAATGAACTGTTTTCTTTTTCCTGGCCAATGACAGTGGAAATGATCAATAGCCTTTTTGTAGCCAAGACTTTAATGTATGTGTCTATACAGAAATTGATCTTGAGTAAAAAGTGTGATGGCTAGCCCTGGTCTCCCCTTTGCACGGTGTCTGTGTACTGATCCAGCATTTGACCCAGTCAGCCGGAGGTCGAGCAAGTTTGTCTGAGAGAATGATTCTAACTTTGTTCATGGGTGTGGGTGTGAACGAACTCTGAACACAGCAGTGACAGCTGATTGCAAGGTTCATGAATGCAATTACAGCTCCAAACTGTGACATAAATAAGCTCAAACTTTTGCAGCTAATAAGGTCCTAATGAACGGCTGTCATAAAGACAAAGATTTGGATCATGTATTTAGGAACTGTTCGGCCACATCATTGCATGGACTTTTAATTAAACCAGAGAGCTTAACCCTAGGGCAGAGTCTCATCTTGTTACCAGACTATGTCTCGAAGATAATCATTAAACATTTTAATTAAGATTAAAAAAATGGATAGTAATACAGCCGGGGTAAATTTAAAGTCCATAATAAAGCTTTATAATGAAAAGTCGCATTATTAAATCTCAAATTCATACTTGCAGCAAAACAAAAGAACACAAAGACCTCTTCTGTGTGTTTCTTTAGCTCCAAGGCTATAGGAGAATGTTTACAAAATTTTGCATGCAAAGTAATGTACTGTAGCCTACTGTACATTATGCTTAATTCCCCTCTGCATATTTATGCCAGATGGTTTTTAATGTATTCAAGACTCTTAGAAAAGGTCATGGGTTCACATTATTTCAATATTATACATGCTTACACA